GCACCACGCCTCTCCATTGCTATGGACGTGACAGGCCCGTTTCCCCGCGATCGCCACGGCCATGACGGTATTCTCACGGTCGTTGACCGTTTGAGCAAGTATGCTCGCTTCCTTCCTTGCAAGTATCATGCTGCAGCACCTGAGCTCGCACGACTCTTGCACACCGGTTGGATTACCAGCCAGGGTGTTCTTGAAGATATAGTGAGCGACCGAGATACTCGCTTCATGTCGACCTTTTGGACTTCTCTCATGACTGAGTCCGGCATGACAATGAAGCCGAGCTCGGCTCGGCACCCGCAGACGGATGGTCAGACGGAACGAGCGCACCAGACCGCTCAGATGATGTTGCGTACGCTCATCTGTCCCGAGCAGAAAGATTGGGTTGACTGGCTTGCCGACATCGAGTTCGCCTACAACACTTCGGTGCACCCGACGATCTGCGTCACACCATTCGAGCTACATCATGGTGGAGAGAAAGCACGGATCTTCGCTGATCTCCTTTTGCCACAAGCTGCCGTCATAGACGTCCCTTGCTCTCCCGCTTCCATCCGGAAGTACCGGGACGTGCTGATCAAAGCCCGCGCAAATATGGAAAAGGCTCAGATCCGCATGCAGCAGCAAGCTAACCGACGTCGACTTCCATGTCCTTTCCGCGAGGGAGACCGTGTTTGGGTCCTCTCTGAGGAATTTGCGCTCGAGCAGGATGTTTCGCGCAAACTCCTTCCGAAATGGTTCGGACCATGGGAAGTCACTTCTGCCGTTGGAGACGACCCCGCAGGTCCTTCCTTCGTGATCAACATTCCACCGCACCTAACAGTGCATCGGGTCTTCCACGCATCAAAGCTGGCCATCTACACGCCACCTTCAGCTGACGAGCTCCCCGGACGTCGATCATAGGATCCGCCTTCTATGAACGGACATCAGGAGGTTGACCGAGTCATCACACACCGCAAGTATGGCAACAAGCCAAGGCAGTACAAAGTCACATTCAAGCAATGTGCGCCTGATGACACTCGGTGGATCTCCAATACAGATTTGCAGACTTCTGCACCCCTCAGCTTCGCCGACTACAAGAAGTGACGCCTTGCTAAGGACGCAGCTCGTCCCGCCCGACCCACCCCGGTATCGGACAGACAACTACGCCCTCGCAGGTAGCTCGGTCTTTTAAGAGGGGGAGTGTGTTACATCTTCGACGCACACGGGTCCTACTAGACCCGACTTAGGGCCGGAGGGACACATTGGGGCCTAAAGGCCCGACCTTGGGGTATTACAGGCCCTCAGGGCCTGATCTTGGACCAGTACCCGACGGGCAGGCCCAAACGGCATTATCGTTTGGGCCTGGCGGCGCTCTTGAGGCTGGCGCCCGCCGGTTGGGGCTGAACCGTCCATCTGGACGGTTCAGGGCATGGCCAGGCCTCGCAGCATTGAGGCCGGCCTCTGCCCCCACCGGTATAAAGTACCGGTACAGCCTCACTTGGAGGCATCGACCTACCCGCACTATACCG